CGCAGGCGGCCGCCACGGCGGCGCGGCCGCGGTTCAGCAGGGGCAACGCGGCCAGCCGGCTCGCCGCGCTCTGCCAGGGGAGGGGACACACGGACACCCCCGTGTCACCCCCCGCCAAGTGCCACCATGGTCACCCGCCCGCGCCACCGTCCCCGGTGCCCACCTGCTGCTCGGTGGCATTCCCAGCAGACATGGCCCCTGTGGCAGCGGCTCCTGCAGGAGGAAGAGSCCGGGGGCCTTCGGCAGTGCCCCCCATCACTGCCCGTCCCCTGCACCCACCGAGAGCCGCCAGCTCGTGACACGAGTGGCAGGGCTCTGGGAGGGAAGGGCCCGGCKGGGGCGCCCGATGATTCAGCGGCAGCCGGGCTGGCCTGGCCCCGCGGTGACACCGGCCCCACGGAGGAGGTGACACYGGCCCCGCACGTCGGCGGTGGCAGCCCCGGGCCAGGGGAGCCTGGCGGGCACTGGGATGGGCAGTGCGTCCCCTCGGGGGTGGGCAGGACCTTGGCGGGGACAGGACCCAGGGGGTGGCACCGTGTGCACTAGGGTCCCCTGAGGAGCAGGTCCCCGAGGGGGGTGACACAGGACCCCTGTGGGGGGCACCGTGTGACGTGAGCACCCCTGAGGAGCAGGTCCCCGCCGGGGGGGACAGGCTGCCCTGGGTGCAGGTCCCCTCGTGTCCCCGGGGGTCACGTCCCGCCCGCGGAGGGGTCCCCCCTCCCGACCCCCCGCCCCTCTGTTCCCCGGTCTCGCGGCGCTACTCACGGGGGGGCGGAGGCCGCGGTCCCTGTCCCGGCCCCGGTCCCGGTCCCGGTCCCTGTCGCGCTGCCCGGTGGCGGTCGCGCTCCGCCGGCTCCGCTCCCGGCGCCCTCGCGCGGCGCCGGCTACACGGCTCGCGGCGGGAGCCAATCAGCGAAGGGGAGGTCTGCGCCGCCACCAATCCCGAGCGAGGGCGGGCCCAGGAGGGGCGGGGCTCCCGCGGAGGGCGGAGCCACGTGGGGGGCGCGGGACGGGGGACCGCGACGGGGCCCGGTGCCCCCCACCCCGTCCCGTGCTCGTGTCCCTGTACGAGGTGACCCTCGTGCCATGCCCCGTGTCCTCATGCCCCGTGACCCCGTGTAAGGTCCACGGTGGCAGCGGGCAACGAGCCGGGGCAAATGGGGCTGCAGATTGAGCACCGAGGAATTCGTTGCACGGGAGAGGGGCTGGGAGCTGTGGCAGAGCCGGGCCTGCTGCCACCACCAGTACCTCCAGTGCTGCCACCAGCAGTGCCACCAGCAGTGCCACCAGCACTGCCACACCAGTGCCACCAAGTGCCACCAAGTGCCACCATCAGCTGCCACCAGCGTGCAGTCTGAGCCGTCTGCTGAGCCACGAGTGGCTGCTCCTGGCCACGAGTGGGTGTCATCGTGCACCAAGGGCACAGGGTGCCATCGCTGGAGCACTGGGGGACAAGTGCGTCCAGGGGTGACAGGGACAGTGGTGACCGCAGACACCCCCTCCCAGCCCCAGAGCAGCACCAGCCACGACCCCCTGGCCTGAGCACCCGGCAGCACCCGCTGTCCCYGGTGTCCCCACGAGYGGTGCCCTCGGGGGGGGTGACACAGAGCYGGAGAGACACGGCCTCTTGTAAACAGGTTTTATTGGGGGCTCCGGGCATACAGACGGAACTGCTGGCGCATGCATGGCCGGCGCGGGCGGCCGGGCGCCGCCGCGCTCCCGCACCCTATTTACAGCGGGGGGCCCGGCGGCACCCCCGCGCCCCCRGCACGGCCTCGTCCGCGCCGCCAGGGTGGCTGGGAGCGCCCATGGGAGCCCTCACCTCGCCGGTGGGGGGACCTGGGCGCCCGCAGACCCCCCTGCACTGAACCCCCCCCGCTGCCCCTCTCCAGCCCGCGGAGGTGGCACCGGAAGGGGACACGGCTCAGCGGGGACCCTCCCGGGGGAGATGCCCACGCACCCAGCACCCGGGGGCACCGGGCTTAGACCAGCACCCAGCTGTGCTTTGGAGGGGGCTCTGGRACCCCCGTGCAACCCCCTCCTCGCTGGCACTGTGCAGCACAGGGGGTCAAGGCAGCAGGAGGGGGCACAAGGGTGGCCCTGTCCCCTGTGCACATCCCGTACAGAAAAGCCACCCACTGAGCAGCACCCGGCCCCACGGCCGTCCATATCCCCACTCGGCGCCCCGCGTGCCGACGGGGTCACCGGCACCCCCAGGTCCATCCCAGGCGCCGCCGTCCATGCCTCCATCCCGCAGCATCCCGGGCCAGATGCATCCGGGCCCAGCCCGGAGCGGGGACGGCAGGGCCGGGCCAAGCCGCTCCGTGCCAGCCGGGGCGGCGGGGAAGCGGGCGCCCCGCGGTTGCCGTCACCGCGGTGTCCCCAAAGCCCGCGGCGGGGTCCGCCGGCGCCGTGCAAGGGCCCTACTTGCCCGAGGGAGTCCGCTCGACGCCGTAGCGCAGCAGGTGCTGCAGGTCCGTGAGCGCGCGCGGCGCCGCGCCGGGGCGCCCGTAGGCGCCGGCCTCGCCGCTGTTGAACGT